CACCCTCGTACCCAAGATCACACATCCTTCCGGGTGACATGCCCTTGCAAGCTTCTGGATTCGGACAAACTGAAGTAGCATTTTTCTCTGGATCATGCACATCGAGAACCATAAATCCGTGCCGCATTCTTAGTTGGGCGGGTGTGCAGAATTCAGCGCCCTCAGGGCAAAATGCGCAGTCCTTGCTAGCGTCCTTGTCCAAATGCAACTGTCCAATAGGACACGCCAAGCAACTGAGGTCAAGAAAAGCGGTATTGTTGGTGCTGGCCACCGTGCGACTGCCCAGAGGGCACTCGATATACGGCATCACGCCCTGCATGGATGAAACCATTAGCTCTAGCGATCTGGAGGGAAAAATGTTGAGTATCAACCTCACCCCTGCTTTGGATAGGACTGGCCAATCAATCAATATCAATATTTTTCTTGGGGCAAGAGTGTATTCCCTCCCCCCCCCCCCGCCCCCCCGCATTTCGTAGCCTTGCAAGGTGGGATCCTAGGCAACAGCACTGCTTCGAAACAACAGTTCAGATAGTAATCCTTAGACCTTCTTAGACCATTTAACCACCAAGCAATTGATGAATTAAACCATTAAATCAGTAAACCAACGGTTTTCCCGAATACGGGAGTCCATTAAACCATTCAATCACTCCTCCTCCTCCTACAAGTACAATGGCCCACAACCATTTTGGAAGGTTTGCATGCTTTTTTGGTTTTAATGTCTGACCCCAGAGTTTCGAAATGCTCTCCTGCTTCAAAACCTCCCCATACGTCTCATAATCACACCCTGCCCAACTATAGCTAACTTTGTGCTTATTACTGATACTTCCACTATCCCTGGAATGCTCACGCGCTCCTTGTTGCCAAGAGAGTATAACAAGCCATACTCCTGATATTCTATGGCTCTGAATTTTCCAAGTATCTCCAGCCTTCTGATTTGCCTCATAAGTATTATAGGCATTGCATTCTCAATCTTCCTTCTAGTCTCTAGACTTTCAGTTCTTATCCGTCTCGGTACGTTCAAGCTTCCAACGATACTAATTTCTTGACGACAGAACACTGTCACGATTTCTCTCTTGCTCAACACCCTAAACACCCCCTTAGTTTTCATCATATTCCGTATATTCTCAACCTTCCCAAACATGCCTCAGCAACAGCAAAAACAAGATTGCCAGTATGCGCAATCGCTTCCTTCCCCTAGAATAAGACACGTCCCTGCCACAAAAAGCAACAACCAGCCCTAAAATCATGCATTATCAGGTGAAAACGCATTTAAAGACTTGGATAGGGGTTTATTGCGTTGCTATTACAAAAGCAAACCTCTTCCAATTATAGGGTTGAGGGAATCCCAAATTCTAGTCAGATTTCCTTCGGGATCTTCCATGACTCACTGCAGCGTCCAAATAATTATTGAAATGGCCTTCTGGAAATAGTGATAAGCCGGAAAATCAATGACAACCCTGATTCAAATTAGATGTCTTTTGGTATTCAGAACATTTCTTCCCCAGAAACAATGAAATTCGGAAAGTAAAGGAAAGGCGTCATTCAAGCAAAAGCTTCCCTGGTTTCTTTTCCGATACAAATTCTTTTACATGGTAAAAACCTAGTTTGCCAGGAACCCCCGATTTGCGTACTGTTTATATTTAGATTTAAAAAGCACTCTTGATTTGGACCAGGAGCCCATCCAAAAACAATGGTGGTTAGATTCTAAATAGATCTACTGGAAGCGTGGCTGATTTTTGACTGTATATATATATATATGTGTTTTTTTTACGCCCTCACCCAGATCCACACAAGAAAAGTGGATAATAACATACCTAAGGCGATATAATTGTGGATCTTGTAGGTGGGTGGGCGAGCATACATATATATATATATAGACAGATAGCAACAAAGCAGCACAGACTTACACCCCAACATTAGGTGTACCATAGGGCTATATGGCATACATAAGGCAATATGGGACTAATTGTACGTTTTCGGGTCCCTGCCAGCCTTAAAGCTCACACTATTTGCAGCAGCATAGATCATACCTCCTCGCGGAGAAGCAGAACGACATCTTGCAATGGAGATGTGTCCCTCAATGATGGCGGTGGAGCTTTTGTCATATGAGTTGACGTAGATGGCTCCACCCTCAGAGGAAGTGTAGCAATCCTCGAAAGTCACAGATCCAGCTCCAGCTGCCGGGCGCGTGAGTGTCAAGGAAGAAACAGCGAGGCCTCCCCCTCTGTGTGCTCTGCATCGAATGAACTCTAGCCTGCCACGTGTGCTTTCCAATTTGTGCGCGCTCAGGCCACCTCCAGACGCTGTGTTGCTGCCGCAACCATGGAAAGTCATATCGCCTCCCTTTTGAGTCACGGTCCAGATTCTGGCACACCGCGATGTGCAGCGCTGGAACCTCAGAATGCCCTGTGACAGATGCAGTTCTCCTGCTTTCAACACTGCATACGATGCCGTGCATTTGTCAAATTTGAGAGATGCCGCCGCACGGTTTAGCGCGAGGGCTTCGTAGACCTCAAAGCAAGAAGAATAGCCGGAGGGGCCCTTCCGAGCCCCTTTCGCCAGATAATCCACACGGCACTTCAGAAAAGAAACTGATCCCCAAATCTCCACAAAGGATCTTGCTTGGACAAGTGGAGCCTGGCGAGCAAACCACAACCCTCGAAAAGTGATGTCGCCATTCAACCTGATATCCTTCTGGAACACCAACTGTGCCATGCTCCAAATCTCGATCTTGGTCCCTTTGCCTGCTCTGATGGTACAGCTTTCGGCTATCACACGTGACTTCGTTCCAATGATGTACCAGCCACATAAGTCCAAGACCCCGTTGGCACCACAGTTTTTTGGGAAGGGCTGGGGCACAAGTCTCCTGGCCTGGCACACAGCAGCATTAATGCCCTTGTCAATGGTGGACTTGACATTGTCAATGGTGGACTTGACACCGCTGGCAATCTTCTTGAAGAAGCCACCACCGCGGCGGCGGCGGCCAAATATCGCAGTGCCCTCGCGGATGGTAAGGAGGTTCCGGCCCTGAGGGCGAACCTGCAAGTCGCCCTCTGTCCGGAGCAAGCCACCAGCATCCACCTCCACAGCCAAACGAGCATGGCCCCTGTGTTTCTCATCACTGGCCAGTGCTGAACATGAGGCAAGGCAGAATGCGCAACATGCGATCCTCAGCATGGCTCCTCTGCAACAAGTCTAGTGTTAACCAAACACCTGACTGAAGGTGACAAGTTGTCAACAAATTTTCTACGAAAAAGACCTGTGAATTGTAGAACAGCCGTGCCCATATAGCTTTGTGCTACCCATAGAGGCTCACAGCTTCAGGACTGCGGGAATGTCTCCATCCCAAGAAAGAACGAAGAGGACTCAAGCCGCCAACTACGAAGAACCTCACTGACGGCACCCGCCAGCTGCCATATCCCCCGGCCATCATCATGACTAGCCTGAGTCGGGAGGTGTCTCAAGATTGAGTGGGATTTTCTCTTGGGCTTCTGGTACGAGATGTCTATCTGGCATGACATCTGCCTCGGCTGAGCTTGCAGGGCCTGATGCCTAGAGGTACAAGGTTTCTGCAAGAGCGTCTGAAGCTCGTGCTGCGTGGTTTAGGGTTCAGGGATTGGGATCTAGGGTGGAGGCAGTAGGGTGTCCGTGTAGGTCTTAGGCTAGCCTTACTATACATAGCCTGAGAGAAGGAAGGTGTCAAGGTAGAATCCTACTGGGTATTGGGTGAGTGGTGTATGGCTTTGGGACAGAATCGTGCTTGCGGTTGAACTCTATCAGCGCCAGGGGTCCATACTGGTCCAGCGAGATTTGCAACTGCTCTACTACAATCTCACGGAGCAGACAGAAATGCGGCATTGATATTTCTCGGCATCAGCATCATCACGGAACTCCCTCGCGTTAACAATTTGTATACATAGGTAAATATGTTGTTCTTAACCAGGTAATACACTCTTTTCTCAGAAAGGCGTGCCCCATACAAGGTCCTAGGGATGCATGGGCTTATGAGGCTCTCAACTTAAGCTTAATGAGGCGATTGCCTTGCCAGACTCCCATACGCACTGTGAAGGCCCAGCGAAAGGTCAACCATCCTGAAAAACTGCCACTTGCTTGCCCTGGACACCTTGGCTTTAGAAGCATGGGCCAGAATACTTTACAAGACTCAATGACCTTTACAGCCGTGCAGTGTCACGTCTCCGTTCCGACTGCGTGACGATCCTAGACAGCCTTCTACACAACTCCAGCAATCACCTCATGGTGCTTGCTTTTTTCCACATGCGGGCAACATGCACGGGTGCAGACTACCTTCCGCGATTGCTCTCAGTCACGTGGCTCTTCACCTGCACCTGCGGTTGCTTAAGTTGCCTTCTTCGCGGATGCCTGTGCGGCGTGCTCGTGCAGGAGGCTGCGAATGGTCATGAACATCAAAGCCATGCAGATAACCACAGCCAGGGTCGTTGTGAAGGCAATGATCAGCAACTGGACCACATGGCTCTGGCCCCAATGCAGGTCATTAGCCAGCAAAGCAAACACTGCGAAGATCATCACCATGCAGGTGGTCAGAAGTGCGACCTCGGCGAGGTTCCACCTGCACAGGGCCAAAGAGCTTCCACTGCTGCGTGATCTACCAAGTACAGGATGGTAAGACCCTTCAGAAATCACTTTGGGCACCCGCCTGTTGTCCTTGTAAGGAAGCAGCAGGGCATACATAACCAGGGACGCCAAGACCACCGATGCCAAGGAAACTAACTGCAAGGCTGGGGAGGCAGTGATCGGTAGCGCTGCGGCAAGGAGGGTGATGCAGCTCTTGCGCAGCAGGCGCTCGGTCTCCCACTTCGCGAATGTCTCCCGGTATGGGGCGGTCAGATAGCTGACATGCACCGGCTGGCTCGCACTGTCGGGACTGCCAGAAGGGTGCCGCCCATCGTCCTCAGAGGGATAGAGGCCCCGCCAGGCGTAAAGAACGCTCCCTGTGCAGAGCAACATGCAGCCGAAAACTAAGGCAAAGCCGCCAGTGAAGGCTGGCGCCTGAGGGCATTGCAGGCCCTGGTCTTCTTGGAGCCTGTAGCAAACCAAGTAACGGCCAAAGTGGCCCACGAACTCCGGCAAAAAGCAGTTGATCCCAACGACCATGGCGACTTGCAGGCCACTTGAGGATGCTAGTGCTGCAGCAAAGGCTGTGGCCAAGGCGGTGAAGGCAAGGTGGCCCTTCCACAATGCGGGCTGTAGACCCAAGTAACCCAGGCTGCACTGCAGGG